TTTCAGTTAAAATTGTTGTCCAAAATTATATTTTTTTGGCTCTAAAATCATGTAAAATGTCTTGAATTATATTTTTGACCGAAATAGTTTGAACTCTATAAAAACACCTCAAGCACTTCAAAGTATATTTTACCCATTTCCTTCTTCTTTCTTTCTGCTTTTCCCTTCATTTTGCCTTCCACACTCATCTTTCTCATCTTTCTCTTCCTTTTAATCACTTCCCCTCCTCATTTCTCTTTACTTCCATGATTTTCTTTCCTTTCTTCCTTTTTCTCATCTTCTTTTTTCTTCACTTTCCCTTTTGTTTCGTTCATTCACCTCATCCTTGCTTCCATTTTCTCACATTCTCTTTTCCTCATACTTTCCTTCCTTTAATTTCATCTCCTTTAATTTCTTTCATTTTCATCTTTCTTTAATTTTAATCTTATTAGTTTATTTCTTTTACAATTTGCAAGTTTGTTTCAATTAATATTGATATCGATTTTATTTTTTTCTAGGATTTTATAATAGAAATTAAGGGCATTTTAAGGAGGCATCTCATTTGGTACTTTTATTTTTATTTTTTATTTTTTATTTTTACATTTCATTAAAATTTTATAAGTTTTTCTTTTTCATTAAGTTTAATTCCCATTTAGTTTATAATTTGTGATTAACTCTTTCTTGGTGTTAAGGGATGGAGAAACTAAAAAAAAAAAGAAGAAGTTAGTAATTAACTCTCTATCATTTAGCTTAAATTTAAATATTTTTATTGAATTTTTTTTGTTATATAATATTCAATTTAAACTTTTGATATATTTGGATTTGGATAAAATAAATAGATTTTTAAATATTAATTAAATGGATTTTTTAATTATATAAAAATAGTAATTATATGCATACTATAATTACACAAATATATTAATTTTTTAATTAAAAATAATATTTCGGTTAAATATTTAGATTGAATTAGTGAAAAATAAAAGATTCAATAATAATATTTTCAGTCAAATTTTTTGATCAAAATTGTCCGACATTTTGGGAGATAGCATATTCAATCATACAATTCGGTCAAAAGTTTTGTTTGAATAAATCATATTTAAGACATAATACCAACTTTTTCGATCAAAAAACCATGTCTAAAAAAGCTATCATTTCTAGTAGTGTTATAACATGTTATATCATTATATAATTAATTTTTTCATTAATTGATCTATTTATGATATTGTATGTATTTATTTATTTAATGATATATTATAATTATAAATTTATAAATTTATATGGCACTGTATAATTACAACATTACTGAAATTCTTAATATAATAACGAGACCAAAACCATTAAGTCGGGTCAAATTATCGGGTGAGAACTTGAACTCACATTCTTACTCTCTTGTGTTAATGAAAATTCACTATTTTACCACTTAAACTACCATCCAGTGTGTGTGTTAGACTGGTGGGTAACCAACACCACCATGAAACTTTAGTTTCAAGGTCGAATTTTATTAAACCTTTTAAAAAGGTACTAAATTTTGTTTGGAAGCAAAAGGGCAATCTTTGTCTGAGGTACGTTGCATTGAATAATTAAGATGAATCATATTCTGAAACTGCAGACTATATACCTATTAATTATTCAATAAGAAAATGCAAAATAAAGATTCAAGGATCAAGAGTGTGTTGGGTATATATTTGCCTTTTGCTATACAATTTTTTACCAAGACAATGTATATATAATATAAAACACTAGTAAATCTGGAATTCACTTATAGATAAATTTCTAGCTGTACCATTTTTTTTAATCAACTAAATAACTTTTATTAATTTATTAAATTTCTAGTTGCACCATATCTTTAACTTTCTTTCTTCCCATTTTTGGCTTGCTTACAATGGCAGCTTATAATTGTAAGTTAGAGCTAATGTAATGTCTTGCAACCATTAAGCGTTGGCAAGTTTTGCTTATTTAAAGTACTATCAATTTATTATACTCAATAATAAGAGGTGATTTTTGTCCTTTCTTCCTATTGAATTACAAACACCCACCCCACCGGGTGGAAAGCATTAAGCATATATACTCTCATCAAGTCAAACTTGAAAATTGGTTTAGTATATATGAGTGTGAGTTGTGCTTGACCTCGGTAATACAAATAAAAGTCTTGCTGTTTTTCTTCAAAAAAAAAAAAAAAAAACTTCAATAGTGATTTGGTTTGGACACAGGATGAGAATAATTACAATGTAGGTTTTTTTTTATTTTTAAATAACAATATTATTTTTATGGTGAAAAAACAACAATATCATTGGATCTTATAAATTTATGTCAATTTGTTGTGATTAATATTTGGTTAATCATTGCTAGTGACTTAAGTGGTTATTATTTTTTTTTTCTAAACTAGGGCAATTTGAGAGGAGTGGAAAGATTTAAACCTAACTCATGAGTTCGGAGGTGTACATTTTAATCAAACAGTCTAAAAGGCCAGATGTAAGTGGTTATTAGTCCCTTACAGTATATTTGGTTTAATGGAAATGAAGTGAAGGGGAGGGTAGGGGAGGGAAGGAAAAAATTTTTTTACTAATGAGGTTGTTGCAATATTTAAAAATATTATAATTTGATAAGTTAAAAACCTTTTTCCTCCATTCTCTTCTTTTTTATTTTCCTTAATTCAAATATATTATTAATTAAAATAGAACAACATAACCTATTTTAGGTATATAGTGAACCTTCATTATTAATGGGATAACTAGAAAAAAAAATGTAAATTCTAATAACAAAATTTACTATTTATTAATAAATATAAAAATTAAAACAAAAATTCATAATATACCAATAAACATAGTTTATTAATAATTGTACGAAAAAGATTAACTTTTTTTTTTGTTCATATGTAGGAGATTGACTTTGTATGTTATGGTCAAGAAGAAACAAGAAGGAAATAGAGAACGACCTTACTATTCTAGTGATTTATTCCCAAATTTTAACAACATTTTTGGGTTAGGAGTGAAAAACTCACATTTAATTAAGGACTTTGTAAAGTTTTCCATTCCCCCTATTACCTTTGTTTTAAAAACAAAAACAAAAAAAGAAAGAAAGGAAGACACGAGTATCACGTCCAGTACGTCAGAAATCATATTAGAGAAAAAGGGACGCACTTTAATTTGTTAAATCGCACAATTAAGTACTATTGTTGTTGCACGAAGAAAAAAAGGGGATGCAAATGCACTTTTGAGATTTTTCTTCCGATTTATTTTTTGCCCAACAAAATCAGTTCTACTAGACCTAGTCTTAGCTTGCTATTAAAAAGTGTGGTTTTCAGGCTGACGAAGTGCGACTATGACAGCCTTAATGCACTTTCATCAAACTGGCTCGTGCCGATAATGCCATCCAACCATATGTATTAGTACAGTAGGAAGGCATGCACCCACTGAAAGACAAAATTAGTTAAGAATTTAAATTTTAAAATTTTAGATTTTAATTTTAAATTTAAATTTTGAATTGAATAAAAAAAAAGAAAAGGGAAAAATTATTTTTTTATAATTTATTATTAAATGTATAAAACAAATAATAAGAAGGTGGTATTTTTTTTTCTTTTTTTATTAAAAATGAGGTTTTAATATTACAAATATTTAAATTACCAAGACCTTTCAATTACATATATAGAGTGCTTCATTAATTTTTTTTTTGTTTACTGTGGATTGTACTTGATTGTGATTATGATCATATAAAAATATATTAAGGCTGCACAATTATAATAAATATGTTTTGTTTGACTAATATTTCATTGGTGTATAATTTTTTGAAATAATTAGTTAATATGTTTAGAAATATTAATCTGTAAATTAATTTAAATATGTTAATTAATAAATGTTAGGAGTAATTGTTTTTAAAAGTCAAGTCAAATAAAATAAATATCTGTAAAGTGATATTAATAAATTCGAAAAAAGTATTTGTCAAGCGAGTTTATAAAAAATTAAAAAGAAAAAAATTTTAAAATAATGTTATTTTAATAAAATTTTATTAAAAAAATTAAAATATCTTATTTTAAAATTACAATTAACATTGTTTTATTTTTTTATAATATTTTAATAAAATTACATAATTTTAAGATAATTATCTTCTTAATTTTTTAAAAACCCAATTAACAAATTCCATTCTTATAATTTTGTATCAACTTAATATTTTGAGGTATATGCCAACAAGCTGTTTTTTTTCTCAAACTTCCTTGTTCTTAAATTCACACTAACCCATGAAAAAGAAAGAGATGACAACTTTTTTACGTCAACAAACACTTATTGTTGGACAAACATAGACAAGAAAAAAAAGTCCTGACATCCCCTTACAATTTCTCTTTGTTTCAGTGATTTGTTGGCTTCCTTTCCTCTTTTATCACTATATATTTTATTAAAAAAAATTCAAAGTCCTTTGGCCTCTGCTTCTTTGTTAATTACCACTACACATTTTTTTAATTTTTAACGGCCACCACCACCACCACCAGCAGCGGTTTTATCCATATGTAGAAGAAACAACATCCAGATTGAAGCTGAGTAGGGCAAGGTTCTTGAATTTTTTTTTTTCTTTTGTTAAAAGTGGAAAACCGAAAAGGGAGATGATAGATGCTGTTATTTATTACTCTAATTGGGAAAAGTTGTCAGTGTCACACCTCGCCTTATTTCACCGTCTGGCAGCTGCCATTCATTCATCATGACAATGAGAGAATTAAAGCCTTTTCAGTGGAGAACGGACGGGAGTCGGGACCCTTGTTTTTGTGCATGTTCATCAGTTTCGACTTTTGGCTCGAGTCCATCCATCCCTTTCCATTTCCACTCAATTATTGTTGTTTATTCCCAAATAGTGTAGATCAATGCTAATGCCTAAACGTACACCCTTTATCGTGCTTTTAGAACCCTAGCTAGCTAATTGATTGAGGGTACATGAATTATTTCCATTCTGCAACTATAGCAAACAAGGAATGAATTCTTGATACGAGTGAAGAAAGTCATTGAACTTCAAATTGACTAAATCAAAAAGGGTGGAATTTATGGCACTTTTTCTTTCAGCTTAACATATACTAACACTCAACTGTACATTTAGGTCATTGAAGAGGTCACATACATAACACAGAAAGAGACGAGGCACAGCAGCGCTAGCGTTTTAGCCCTTCAAAGAGAAAAAGCTATAAAGGGCTCAAAAGTGAAAAACTGAAGAAAAAAAAACAAAAAGGAGAAATTTCACACGCGCATTTTCACAAACAGGTAGAGAACTAATTATAATCCCATAACAGACCTTGATCGAAACCATTTTGCAGCACCGTCTCCCCAAGTCCTACCTGATAATCTTCCACGTTCTGCAACCACGGCGGAGGGTAGAACCACTCCGCCACCGAATCCACAAATACGAACTCGTTCTTCAACTCGGTCGAGTCATAGGTGGTTTCCAGACTTGGCAATTCGACTATCTCGCTCAATTCCTCAGACCCTGTTGACAAGTCCATCGCGGAGACCAAAGACGACAGAGACGTTGAAGAGGACAATGTGGAGGACGCCGTAGAGGATGGTGGAGAGTCCAAGTTGTTCATCTGCGCAGCTTTGGTAGCCGCAGCTTGCACGTCTCGAGGGGAGAGCGACGCTGGTCGAGGCAGAATGTCAACAAGCTCAGGAAAGTTCAAAATCGCCGAGTTGCCTTTGATGCTCAGCGCAGCCACATCGTGTGCACGAGCAGCCATTTCCGGCGTCGGAAAAGTACCCAACCAAATGCGGGACTTCTTCCGCGGCTCACGGATTTCAGACACCCATTTACCCCAATTCCTCATGCGAACGCCCCGGTACACCGGATGCTTGTTGGTGTCCCTGATTCTCTTGATCTTTTTAGGGTCATTGGTTTCGGATTTGGATTTCAGCTGGGACGATGATGAGTTGGGGACATTCGATTGAGTTGACCCTTGAGATGACGGTGATTGCGGCGGAGATGACAAGCAATTGGAGTTGGAGCTGCTTTCCGCCTCCGAATGCTGCTCAGTCATTCTTATTCTTGAGATGGGTATGCTTTTTGCACTTAAACAAAACTCCGTAGCTGTACCAAAACAAGATAGTACACTACAAAAAGCAGGGTCTAATTGCTATTCAAGCATTTATATACACATGTTCTTTGTTTTGATCAGTTGAATTACAGCGGAAGAAGTGTGAAGCAAAAACAGAGGAAGGTGAAATGCAATATCCACTTTTGAAGAAGTGAAAATGGAGAGAGTAGAGAAAGGGAAGAAAGAGTATTGTAATGTTGATGAAATTAGGCACAACTTTTTTCCCCATCATTTCTCAATGACTCACACAACACTTATAAGCAATTGAGGGAAAGAAAAGACGAAGGACCCACAACAGAAATGGGTCACCCCTGCAACAGCCTATGCTACAATGGGAGTTGGACCAGTTGGTCCCCTTCCCTCTAATATATACCACGCAACCCTCCATTAATTTAACCTCTTTCAGCCCACGGTCTGCCCTTCACTGTTCATTTTTTCCTTCGTGGCCTTATCTTTTCTTCTTTGTCAATCCTCGCCAGTCACTACCATCTTCGAGATTTCGGTAGCATTAAGGGTTGTTTTCTCATTATGCTTTTTAAACAGTATTTCATAAAAAAAACATTTATTTATTATAATTAAATTAATTTTAATAAATATTTTATATAATTTAATGAACATATTAATTTATAAATTTTTTTTGAAAACAATTATTAAATAACAACATAATTTTTTTAATAATAAAATATTAAAAAAATAAAATTATAGTATTTCATAACAATTCAAAACACAATATTTATTTATTTTTTTTTGGGTAATGCTTGAATTAGTTTTCATGAATGCATTTTGATTTTGATTGATTTAAAAAATTCAACTTGGGTGCAACTTGGAAATAATAGGATATCACAATACGAAACGGTTGTCACAATTCATGAATCAAATGGGTCCGCACATAGAATTTTTGACATAAAGGTGTCTTCAAAATGATACCAGTAGCGCAGATGATTAATTAGTCTAGCTTTAAATAAACAGAAATTTACCTTACATTCCTTTAATTTCTCTAAGAAGATCACTAGAAGGTGGAAGTCATTTGATCTACAATAATTGCGATCAAGCTCTATCCAAGTGATTTTAATATTTTAGTTCATTATACTATCTTACTGTGAAAAAAAATTGTCTATTTGTGAACAAATCCAAAAGAATTAGCTTAGATACTAATGTTGATAATATCAATTGGGTCAGTTTGGGTGTTTATACGTGAGAAAGTATGAAGATATGTGAGTAGACATCATTTTGAATTCAATTCCTAATATGGGACTATGTGGAGTCGTTTATTTTATGGGCTTCACCATGCTTACAATCCAGACCGAAGACTGAACTCAAATCTTGAGCCTCATTATCGACTTTCTGGATATTACCTGTTGGGAGTCGTACCATATATAATTAAGGAATGGTATATATCTTTAACTCTAAAAAAACATAACTATTTATAGATCTTCATATATATATATATATATGTATATATTGTTTTTACACTTTATTTCTCTTCATTATAGGATCTTTATGCTTAATTTATCTTTTTACCCTTACCTTATATGTCAAGTTTTTATTCCAACAGATAATGAATGTGCAAATGATTTTAATTTGGAAAGAGGTGAATAAGTGCACAAACAAGGACCATAAAATTAGGGATATCGTAAAATAATAATAATAATAATAATAATAAAAGCCGAAAATCAGAAAGTGCCAAACTCAAAATGATGATTGGGATAAGACAACAAAGGAACACTAGGCATTTCAGCCCAAGGAAGGGTCATTATATTAATTAGTTTAATCAAGAACATTAAACACAATTGCTTTATCTAAAAAACAATAAAGAGCATTATATTGACAGAATTAGTTAATTAAATGTTGGTTAAAGAAGAGATACTTTTACTATTAATAAAGGGGACCCCTTGATTTTCATGGGGTGATTGTCTAATTCATGCATCGTTTGGTTGGATATATATATATATATGATGATTTGCATACATATCGAAGTTGAGTCACACCTCACCAATAAACTGGGTCCCAAAACTCTAAATTACACAGTATCTTGATCGATGAACC